GCTTCTGGAGGCAGGTTGTTCCACTGTTTAATTTGCCCTCACTATCTGGAAGTTTCTCCTTAGTTCCAGGTTGCTTCTCTCCTTGATTAGTTTCCATCCGTTGCTTCTTGTGCTGCCTTCAGGCCAAGCTGCCTAGAGAACGGAAGGGCCTATCCCTAGCTGCTATTTCTGATCCTGAATTCTTCACTAATTGAACTTGAGATAACTTTGATTGAACTGAGTTTCATCAGAATGGAAAACAGTGCCTGGTTTAAAAACAGAAATGGGCCTTTCCAGTCTGTAAGAGAGAAAATTGAGGGTGGGGAATGCACCCCAATTTCTGAAGGTTTGCCCGCCTCATGGGAGAATCTGTGCCTCCAAAATCTTTTAAACCAGGGGTCCTCAAACAAGGCCCTTTTATGACTTGTGGACTTCAACTCCCAGAATTCCTCAGCCAGGCACGTGTGCCTGGCTGAGGAATTCTGGGAGTTGAAGTCCACAAGTCATAAAAGGGCCAAGTTTGAAGACCCCTGTCTTAAATCTAACAAACAAAATGGAGGCTGGCTGAGGAAGTCCACAAGTCATAAAAGGGCCAGGTTTGAAGACCCCTGTCTTAAATCTAACAAACAAAATGGAGGCTGGCTGAGGAATTCTGGGAGTTGAAGTCCACAAGTCATAAAAGGGCCAGGTTTGAAGACCCCTGTCTTAAATCTAACAAACAAAATGGAGGCTGGCTGAGGAATTCTGGGAGTTGAAGTCCACAAGTCGTAAAAGGGCCAAGTTTGAAGACCCCTTGATTAAAACCGTGTTTCTCAACCTCCGCCACTTTAAGAGGCATGGACGTCAACTCCCAGAATTCCCCAGCCAGCATAGTTAGACAGGGAATTCTGGGACCTGCAGTCCACAAATGCTGCTTGGGGAATTCTGGGCGTTGAAGTCTTCTACTCGTCTGAAAATTGCTGAGGTTGAAAAACAACTTGAGTGTTATACACGCTGCATCTTCTCACATTCAAAAAAGGTGATTTGAAGCAGCAAGAATTTATAATGGCTCCAGTGATGTGTGGCAACAGCAAGCAATTCCAAACAGGCAAACGCACACATTCACACATACACATCCTGTTCCCGGCAGCTTTGTCCATTTACCAAGATGTGGCCTGAAGGGGGGTGGGTGACAATTCATGCTGCCCTCATTTAAGCGCATCAAGAGACAGTCACTTAGCAGGTGAAAAAGTTAAAAAAACCCTTTCATTAACAGAGAGACATTGCAAAGATGGACGCCGGCTTGCTCCCCTAGGGCCAAACAAAGGCCTTTTAATTCAGAGAAATTGTGGGCCTCTAAGCTGGTTTGCTGCTGAAATAAATTTAATCTGACGGCTGTCGCTGTTCCCAATTTGTCTTTTTTTTTTTTTACACCTGTTCTGCTTTATTTATTGTGGAGCGTTTTTAGCGCCGTGTTTTTTCAACCTCAGCAATTTTCAGACGAGTAGAAGACTTCAACTCCCAGAATTCCCCAAGCAGCATTTGTGGACTGCAGGTCCCAGAATTCCCCATCTGGGTATGCTGGCTGGGGAATTCTGGGAGTTGACGTCCATGCCTCTTAAAGTGGCTGAGGTTGAGAAACACTGTTTTAATCAGGGGTCTTCAAACTTGGCCCTTTTATGACTTGCGGACTTCAACTCCCAGAATTCCTCAGCCAGGCGTGGCTGGCTGAGAAATTCTGGGAGTTGGTCCGCAAGTCATGAAGGGGCCATAGTTCCCCCACGCTGGCTGAGGAATTCTGGGAGTTGAAGTCCACGAGTCATGAAGGGGCCATAGTTCCCCCATGCTGGCTCAGGAATTCTGGGAGTTGAAGTCCACCAGTCATGAGGGGGGCCATAGTTCCCCCACGCTGGCTGAGGAATTCTGGGAGTTGAAGTCCACGAGTCATGAAGGGGCCATAGTTCCCCCATGCCGACTCAGGAATTCTGGGTGTTAAAGTCCACAAGTCATAAAGTCATATAAGGGCCAAGTTTGAAGATCCCTGGTTTCAGTGGAAAAACAGGATGCAAATATAATGATTGACCATGATGACGACGATGATGAAAAAGTCTATTCAAAATAATCTTGGCTTGTTTGAATGCCTTTTGGTTTGTTTTCCCTCTTCGTGCAGCAGACTTTCTAGGAAAGAGTGTATTTTCTGTGTATGGTCCTGTGGCAGGGGGGCCACAGGGAAAGTGGTCAAAAAAGTCAAGATGGCTGCTACCACTAGGCCAGAGAAGCTCCGCCCATTTGTGATGCATATTAAAAAGAGGTGGAGCTTTCATCACATGTATCTAAAAACGGGATCAAAGTTTGTTAAATCTGAGACGTTTGAAGTAACTGCATCAGTCAAAATATATATATATATATAAAAATAGGCAGAGAATCAGTCATTGGAAAGTACCAACTCTTGCCAAACCAACTTGCAGGGGTTTCTCCCCAAAATGTATTGCAATATGTCAATGAAGAACTCAATCACCCGGGCCAAAAGTATCTTAAAAAGGTTAAATCATGGCAACTGGACCGAAGTTTGTTAATCTGAGACGTTTCGTTACTCGTCCAAGTAGCTTCATCAGTCAAAATAAAAAAAATAAAATTAGTCAGAGAGTCGTTGGAGTTGCATCACATGTTTCCAATTCTCCACTTTTGGACAATTCCTCCCCCCCCCCCCAGTCCTCTCTCACTTGAAGTGGGAGATGTGAATATTTTCCCAGCAGCCTTTGCAGCTGAGGCAGAGATAACATGCTTGGCTGGAGAATTCTGGGAGTTGAAGTCCACTCATTTTGAAGTTGCTGAGGGTGAGAAATACTTGCTGAACAGGTGGAACAAAGTGGTCCCATCACCCACCAATGTATTACTTTTATTTGTGTATATCTATCTATCTATCTATCTATCTATCTATCTATCTATCTATCTATCTATCTATCTATCTATCTATCTATCTATCTATCTATCTAGTATAATTATTTATTATTATTAGACTATTAGTCCTTGACTTACGACCACATCTGAGCCCAACATCGATGTTGTTAAGCCGGACAGTTAAGTAAGTCTTGCCCCGTTTTTACAACCTCTCTTGCTACAGTTGTTAAGTGAATCACCTGCGGTTGTTAAGTTAGTCACACGGTTGTTAAGTGAATCTGGCTTCCCTCATTGATTTTGCTTGTCAGAAGGTCGCAAAAGGGGATCACGTGACCCACCCGGGAACACTGCAACCGTCATATATACATACCAGTTGCCAAGTGTCTGAATTTTGATCCTGTGACCACGGGGATCAGAATCAGAATAGAGCTGGAAGGGGCCTTAGAAGTCATCTAGTCCAACCCCCTGCTCAAGCAGGAGACCCTATACCATTTCAGATAGGTGGCTGTCCAGTCTTTTCTTAAAAACCTCCAGTGTTGGAGGTGGCAGGCTGTTCCACTGGTTAATTGTCCTCACTGTTAGGAAGTTTCTCCTTAATTCCAGGTTGCTTCTCTCCTTGATCAGTTTCCATCCATTGCTTCTTGTCCTGCCTTCTGGTGCTTTGGAAGATACGTTGACCCCCTCTTCTTTGTGGCAGCCCCTCAAATACTGGAAGACTGCTATCATGTGTCCCCCCCCAGTCCTTCTTTTCTCCAGACTGACCATACCCAATTCCTGCAACCAATTCCCGCAATATCTTTTAGTCTCCAGGCCTTGGATCATCTTAGTTGCTCTTCTCGGCTCTTTTTCCCAAAGTCTCCACATCTTTTTTATAGTGTGGTGACCAAAACTGGATGCTGTATGCCAGGTGTGGCCTTGCTAAGGCTTTATATAAAGCGGTACTAATGCTGCCGTGCTTTGTGTGAAAAAACTCATAAGTCACTTTTTTAGTGCTGTTGTAACTTGGGTCACTAAATGAACGGTCAGAAAGTCGAGGACGACTTG